CCACATTGCGATGCCATAAAAAGAGCAATAAAAAATTGCACTTGCTAAAGTATATTTCCAACAACTTTCTTGCTGCTCCACTTTCCAACAGTGCAGGAAAGCACATTTTTTCATCACTGCAAACTTTTGCCTTATTTTCTTTACTTTTCTGCTGAAGGGCTTCGTGTCTGTTCTGCGCTGAGTAGCCGCAAAGAAATAAAAAGCCACTAAAATATTGAATGCCAATATGTACTTAGCAACTGGCCAAGCAACCAATCCAATCGACCCACCAACCGACCTGCAGTCAAGCGAAATACATAGAAATAGCGAAGAGAAATTGAAAGGAACTGAGGAACTGTAAAGAAAAAGAAATCAAGTCGGTCGTTGGGTCATAAAACAGTGGAGTAATGGTAGTTGGAATCCAGTGAACTAGTGTAGGTAGCAAACAATAGAGTAGAGACGCCCAGCACTTGAAGACAATGAGCAAAGTTTTGGCAACGCGGCCTTAAAAAGACATTAAAGCGCAGGAAGCAAACACATTTTTGAGCTTAGAAGGCTGTAGCGGACTGCAGCTGCGCATAGCGTGTGATCGAAAAAAAATTCGGAAAGGTCATTGGGTAAGAGCAGGAGAAAGCCAACTAACTGTGAAACGCAACGCATGCGGCTAAATAACAGAACCACATTTTTAATGCAGCACTCAAATGAAAGAAAGCTTCAAATAAAATAATGGTTTTGAGAGCAAGCCAATAATTTAGTACCTAATTGTAGGAAGTGGTTGGTTATAAGTTCGCACAAATGGTGCGCGGCCAGTCGAAAGCTGGTGGCTTAGCCAAGTATACAACTGCTTGTAAGATGCTATGAGGGTTTAGCAATGAACAGCGCATTTGCATTTAAGATACTCTTTTCAAATTGATTTACTATGGCATTCTCATAGATGAAACTCAAAAATATCTTAGGCTATTTATATCAAAATATGGCAGAATTTAGTTTGTATTTTCCGGTTTTTGTATTCTATTTCACAATTGATAATACAATACTACACCCAACTATAATAAAATGGGTGATAAAACAGAAAACAATCAATATTTCTTCTCGAACTCACTTCAGAATAGAGACATCGAACGTTCTTTACTTGGACAGCTGACTTAATATATCTATAATTTTATAAAACATAGGTTAAGTATTTATGTAAGTGTATTAATACATATATTTAGTCTTCGCAGCAATAAGAAATCTTTAATTAACAAACACTCATAACAAGGCAACTTTGGTAGAAAACTTAAAATCGAAGTATTTTTAAGTATTTTATTTTGTAACTATAATCAAAGTTGTATGAACTATCCTTGTTCGAATAGTTGCCTCATTCACTTTGACAACTGAAAGGGTTAACTCAACTTTTTGCACACTTCCATGCAAGACAGATTGGAAAATGTTTCAAGTTCTGCAATTCCATTTATTTTAGCAATAAAAATTCTGAGCAGAAGAAATATAAAAACAGTAATATATTTCTTATTTTGTAATCGAAAAGAAATGTAAGCAGAAATGGTACGAGCATGCCACATCAATCGATAAGCATCGCGTTCAATTGCACTGTAGCAACTTTGTCATGTGAATGCGAATGCCGTGCAAAGAAGAAAATGTGAAGTGCAATATACCATTAATAAAACAGGGAGCTTTAAGGACAAAACTTTAGGTTTTTATTTAAAATATAAAATTGTTGAAAATAAAACTAAAATAATGATTTTTTTAATTGATTGATTTGCCAAGTCTTATCTCATTATTTATTATATTATGCTGATTACCCAGCATGATCTAACCTAACCTTAGCTATTTCCAACAAAAAGTTTTTTCTTCCTGATGCTACAACTAATTTCTCTTAGCACCTTCGCATACAATTAAAGCTTATAATCAATTGCTAAGCACTAGAAAATGGTAGAATCGTTTAGATATAGATGGAATAAGCGACTATTATCTGCACACATTTTATTGCTGTGAAGAAAAATATCTGTAGCCATTGACGCAATTAGGTTCGAACGTTCACTTTTAATGGAAATGCAACACTAATTGAAATTAATCCATCAACTATGCAGTAGAGTATATCCACCAACACTCCGTTATTCCATTAGTATGTATGTATGTCTAATTTCTACTTTATTTAAGTGTGTAAGTATTTGTGTCAATCACTGCACCATTCATCAATAATCAACTGTGGTTGTAGATTTGTACAGCAGCGTGCTAATTGAAGCAATTATTCAAAGATGCACTCAATTGCAGATGCATCCGTTTGTAGGCAACTGAGTGCCCTGTAGGAAAAGTGCATGTGAATAAATACAATGCGAATAAGCCTGACAGCCAGTGGCAGGTTGAAGCTTGTGTTAACAAGGTAATTTAGCATAGTACATAATATAAAAGACCCTAAAGTAACATTTTTAAGTATCCATGGCAAAAATATTATTATTAGCTTAAAAACACTATGAAAATTTTTACGAAAAATATTTAGATAGTTTTTCTGGTAACAACATTCAAAGAGATGATGCTCCCAGGAAAACTGATGGATGCTAAATTATTTAAATAACCGCACAAAATAAAGAGAGAATGAACAAAATTTTGAAATTTTGTGTAGTCGGTCGTTTTCTCACTCTTTCTGAAATCAGCTGAACATCTAATTATTGTCATAGAAACCAAACAGTTTGACAGATAGAGTCACATGGTGCGCAAAGTTCCTGAACTCAATAGGCGTCAAGACCTTTTTCATGCATTTACAGGCAAATATTTTTTAGTTAAATGAAGCTCTCATCTTTCCAATACTCTTCGGCACATATGACACAATCTGATTGGTAACACTGGAGATATACGATGCTGCCTCAATGTTCACACATCGGCAGTATAAGTTTCGAGCTCCGAAAATGTATTAAAATTTGACTTTACTTGGACTAAAAAGTTCTTCGCATTTCTCCTGCATAATTCGAAAGAAAGCTGCACGTTTCCTTTCATTTTAAGTATTTTGAGTTTTGTAATAAAAATATTATCTTGGTACCAAAATTCTTTAGTGAATGGAATCCCGGTATGTAGTCGTCACAGTTACTACTGCACTGCACAAAACTAACCAACTACCAGTTGAAGTTTGTGCTATTTAGCGCCAAAGCTGATTAACTACCTAATTGAATTGTTCGCACCCGTCCTTCAGGCTGTATTGAAAGCTTTAATTCACCCCTTTCAGCGCGCACAACAAATGTCCGTTAACTACTTTTGGCCCATTCACTAATTTTATTCAGCGCACAATCACTCCATCAGTATGTTATTTGCCTTGCCAATTGCCACACACACCGTACTGGCAGGCAACAGTGCAATGCAAAGCATCATTAATTTTACGCTGCATTGTTTTTCATATGCCGGCGCTGTTTCACCGTAAAACCAGTTTACTGTAGCGAAACGCTTTTGGGTTTTAAGTTTGGTGCGATTGCTATTCCTGTCAGGAGCCTCAATCGGTGAGCTTAAGCCGGTGATTAATGGCTAACTATGTAATAATGACGCTAACTGTATATCACGCCAATGGGAATTAATATCTGTAAAGGCAAATTTACACACACCCATACGCATGCATGCTTACGCCAGAGTTGCAGGAAGCAGCGTTATTAATTCTATGTAAATACTAACTCTTGCCACTAAAGCGCTAATTGCATTTACCGTTACATGCGCACATATGTATATGCCAGCCTGTGAACACGGATTTTGAGTTACTCATACCACACGTAGTACACTTGTATTTTCATTATGCATATATGGCTATTAATAACGCTGTGAATATGAGTTTTTAGAAAAGCTTCAAAGCAAAAAATAGAAAAAAGAACTCTTAACTCATGGGCGACGTTTAAACAAAGTGCTGCCTATCAACCGTTTACTGAGTTAGAGTAAGTGCGGAAGTAATTATTAGAGAATTAAAGCATGTTAAAAATAATAGCATACACAGAGTTTCATTCACAGTTTACAGACCGAGCAAATTTGCATCTTTCAACTGTGACTGACTTCAAGTATGCCAGTTTAGTTAGCGATGCTGGAGTTGCAATGAGAGCGAAAAGAGAAAAGAAGAAGAATTATTTATATATAAAACGAAGAAGACATTTTCTGCGAACTGTGCTAGCAGTTATGGTAGCTTGGTGATGGCAAAGACATAAATAGTAAATATTTAATAGATTAGATCATAATTAATAAGATAATAATTAAGTAATTAACTCCACACCTAGATTCAGCCAAACCGTTGTAGTATAAAAAATATGATTATGATTATAGAGAGCCATCATCGATAAACCTATAATTTCTCAACTTGAATTCTTAATCATAAAGCCAAACACCAATTTGTAACCAAACAGTTCTCATGAGAAATTTGCAATGCACTTTGCAGTAACTACAGATAAGCAAGCAATGGTTGAGATTACAAATGAAATGCAGTGCTGATCATTACCTGAAATGTGGTAACCAAATATTCTTACTAGTTGTCATATTTAGTCACAATATCCACTTTCTTCCAGCAGAAACATATTAATCCTCTAACATTTTATAAAAACATCTGACACTAGCAGTTTGTGGAGCAATCTGATTGATGGAACACATTTCAGACTCGAGCAGAATCCGCTGAAAATGGTAAATTGAAAGCAGTTAATACCCATTAATTTTGAAGATGAAGATTGAATGAATTTTTAAAAGTTAAAAACGTTCTATCTAGTTTTGTGGCAGTCCTATGGGAAGCAGTTGCCGATAATAAAAAGTTCTATGACTTCTGTATATAGACTTTTTTCACATAACCTCAAAATTTATGTGAAAAATTCAACTAACCAAGTTTTCGGATTTCTTACTCTTACCTTGCACAAAAAATGGTTTCTTACAGGAAATTAGTTTAAACTTACCTTCGTATGTCCCAAACACATTGTATATTTTATTACCCAAAAATGATCTATTTCAAATATGTAAATTTACATTGTCTATGGTTTTCTCAACAAATGCAACATCTTATTTCCTTGCAGTCGCTTCACGTGACGCCTCAGGCAGTGGCAGCAGCAGCAGCAGCGGATCAAGCAACAATGCGGGCGGTAGTAGTGGCAGTGGTGGCGGACAAACTAGATACCCGGTTGTAGTGTTTGTACATGGCGAATCCTATGAATGGAATAGTGGGAATCCGTATGATGGCTCGGTGTTGGCGAGCTTTGGACAAATACTTGTCGTCACAATAAATTATCGACTGGGCATACTAGGTAGGTATAAAGAACAATTATTATTTTACTTCAAATAACTTTCCAATATTAGTTGTTTATGAAGTAAGTTTTGATCATTTGTACCAACACTTCAACAATTATCGGCGATTATGCTCCTCAATTGTAAAAATAAATATTTTGGGCTTACAATTACACTTTTAGTAAAGAGATAGCGAATTGGTAATTCAATATAATTCAATGTAAGTCAAAAGTGCTGCGAAAGCATTACAGCATTACCGTTCGATACTCTAAAGGGCCCCAATGGAAGGAAATTGTACAGATAAAAGATTAAATTCAGCTGGTTGATGAGTAGTGCGCTTAGTTGGGACTTCTTAAGTTGGCTGCAGTGCGGCTGCTTGCATCATGACCGCCTTTAATAGCAAAAATATAGCTCAATATTTTATAAATCCTCTATGCAAAGCACACGGGCACATTAGTTAATATTGAATACGAATTTCAAATAGCAAGAATATCAAAAACACAAATGCTTAATTAAAGCAAGGTAGAACAGCGCGCGTTTGAGCGCCCACTTTTAATTTACTTAGCCATTTTTTTAATGTAAAAACTCTCTGCAAAGCTGGTGCAGCTCGCCCCTCTCCCTGCGCATATAATATTAATTTGCAGCAGTTTTCGGAAACAAAGGGCCATAAGACTAAAATAAATGGACTTTCGCAATTTCAGCAGAGACCACCAATAACACACTTTCGCCCGCTACATATGCATGCTAATGTGTATTTTAAGCGCGCCTGCTCTGTGTGGCACTTAAAATTTTATGCAAATATATATGCAACGTGCACTTTATTAAAAAGCACAATTAGCGCCCAGATTGCAATGACACAGCGGAGCGGTGTTAATGTAAATACACACTTACACATGCACAAACACGCACACACACACATACACTACACTTTAGGACACGCTTGAAAATAAACTTTTACTACTATTTAGCATAGAACGTAGCTTTACGTGATATTCATTTGTTTCCCAATTTGCATATGAAATTTGCTTTCCAGTTACCCTCCGAACTAAAAAAAAAACCGCCTTCCGCGCTTCAATCGCATACAAGAGCGTTTGTGTGTGTATTTTTGCGGCGGTGCGTGGGTTACTTGCTGGCGGTGTCGGAGTTGGTTGTGTTGCAATGCCGCAGTTGTGGCTGCTGTTAGTGTTTAGCTGCTTTGGAATTTATAAATGCAACTTTTGCTTTTATGAATTTTTCATGAGCCACCCACACACATACCGCCAGTCCGGCAAGCAAGCAAATGCGATGATTCGTTTGCGCAGCACAGCAATTCAAATTGTTTCCGCCCACTATGCGCGGCGCAAATGCGAATGTTGGCTATAAAATTAAATGAAATTTTTCACTCAAAATTCAACTGGATTTCGAGTTTAGAAGGTTGATGGCGGCGTCAATGTTGGTGGCGGCAAAAAGGCGTGCTGGCGATGCCATGCTGCAGCGCGCGTAGTTGCCAGCTTTAGTCGACACACACCGGTTGCCGCTAGCACATTTGACGCATCGAAAATACTACATACAGAACTAAGCGCGGTTACTACCAAATGCAGCTGCATGAACTCGAACTCAAATACCGACACGCGTCTACGCGTTGCAAATAAGTGCGAGAAAAAATGTCACCACATAAAGGGTGCGTGCAGTTTTGTGGCGCAAATCGAATTGCTGGGTAGCAATGGTAAACACAAGATTTGATATATTTGGATGCTGTAAGCTTATCTGAGAAAAATATTGCATTCTTTCTTCTTTTTTGAATGAAATCGCAAAGAATGCTTAATGATAGCTATAATACCGAAATAACGCCCACGTCATTGGAAAGGTAGATATATAGCAGATCTAGATCCAAATATTTCACATCTTCAGTTTATGAGTGCAGTATATTTATGGCTTCATGCTATCAGTCTTCTCAGAATAAATAGAGCACCAATTTGGGCTTTCATTATTCGGCACTCCCCGAAAGAAGTCACTCACAATTCTTCCTTATTCCATAATGTATGACTTGCTTAAACCAGTTTTTTGCCGAACCGAAACGTAGCACCCGTTACACCGCGAACAAGTATTTTTTTTGACCTAACACAGATTTGCTCGAAACTAAGTTTACACGTGGCATGTGGCAAGCGGCAGCGACAAAGGTAAATATGCACTTGTTTACCTCAATTGCAGCATGTTTTCATAGATATAACGGTGACAAAAAATTTTGCGCTTACATTAAATTGCATGTGTGAATTTGTCATATCCGTGTAGCTCTCATGCACTCAAGTACATAATATACATACATATGTATGTATTGCACATGCCCCCAGTTATGCGGCGCTATGCTTGCAACGGATTAAGCATGCGAAATCCGGAACGTTCAGCGTAAACTGCAACACGTTCCGCTTATATGGACACGGTGGTATGGGCGTGTGTGTGTGTAATGAGTTTAGGCTTTAGCGCATTTGAACAGACCGAAGTGAGATAAACATGAGTGAACGCATCCGCACAGAGTCAGCGCAATGTTGACCTAAATGCAAACACATGCACATTAATATATATATGTATATATATTCGTATACGAAGGCGGGGGATGCGCCAAGTGACTATTCAAACTCGTCGCCAGACAGCGCAAGTCATGCACAAATATTTTGCTTAAAATGTTGCTGCGATTGAAAAACCCGAACGTAACGGAATTTTGTCAGCAGTTGCCGTAGGTAAATTCAACGCTAAAGAATGTGAGATACTTTAAGTGCTGTATCCCAAACAGAAGTTAAGACCAGAGTGTCGCATAAATATTGAGTTTACCTCCCTGCAATCATCATGCAACAGCTCGGTTGAGTTTTTCTTCTCTTGCATGGTGTGGTGCGAAGACTCTCCACAGTTTTCCTTTTTTTAAAGTAATGGGTTAATCATTTCCAGCATTTTAACTAAAGGAGGTAGTTTACCTGTTTGCTGAGCGGCTACAATACTTCTGCATTTGTCAGAGTAACACTTCTTATTCCAAGCGATTCTCAGCTGCTTCCCAACAGATACAATAAAATATAGTTATTTCGCATCTTTAAAATTTCTTTAACATAAAATCCAATTCTTACTTCCCCATCCAGGTTTCTTAAATGCCAATACAGATCGCTACTCGAAACTGCCAGCCAACTATGGCCTAATGGACATCATTGCCGCGTTACACTGGCTTAAGGAAAATATTGCTGCATTTGGTGGCGATCCACAGAGTATAACCCTAGCGGGTCATGGCACCGGAGCAGCCTGTGTGCATTTCCTCATCTCCTCACTGGCGGTGCCAGAAGGTATAGCAGAGATAATTACAGCAATTTCAATATATAAAACAAGCAAACATCTCTTTTATGACTAGGTCTCCTGTTTAACCGCGCCATACTGATGTCCGGCTCAGGCTTGGCACCCTGGTCGCTGGTAAGCAACCCTGCTAAATATGCGGCCATCGTTGCGCATCACGTGAACTGTGCGCCCGACCTGTCACATGCGCATCTAATGAAGTGTCTACGCGACAAGACACTGGAGCAGCTGCTGAGCGTGCCCATACGACAGCCAGAGTTCGGTTTCGCCTTTGGTCCCAGTATAGATGGTGTGGTCATTGATGGTGGTGATTATGTACCGCCAGCGCCCGGTTCGGCTGCTGCACAAGCCCAAGCATCGACTGCTGCCGGCGGTGGCCTCGGCGGGGGTGCAGGCATCGCAGCAGCGGGTGGTTGGGGTACGCCAGGACAGTTGGAAAATATCGGTAATTATTGTAGACGCTAAGTGTATCATAAATATCATGCAAAAGTAATATGAATTAGTTCTTATTGAGTGAAATAATGAAACCATGAATAATTAATTTCATTTACATGACCACTTTCAATTTGCAACCTGAACCCCCTGTTGTGGGCATATTGCTGCCTCCTCTTCATTATATCGTTGATTGTAATGTGCGCTGTATTTCAACGGGATTACAACACATTACCGACTTGCCTTTATCCGCTTTCTCCAATTGCTGTGGTGGCTGCTTAACGCACGGATGCGCATTTAATGTCATCTTAAACTCCAATGGCGACGGCTACAATTTGCTCTCATTTTAATACAGTATTAATGAGGAAAACAGCCATTAACAAGCTGTCGAGGTATGTAAAGCCTATAACCTGTGAATGATTTATGTTTACACAGTTTTAATGCAAAGAGTGGGTGGTTTTAATATCGGTGAAGTGCTCGTCGAAAGATTGAAATCTGTGAATGATTGTGTTTATTTACTTACTGGTTAAACATATCAATGCTCAATTGCTTATAGCGTCTTTGCAAGGATTAAACTTATTAATTTTTACTGCGATAGAAGTACTGACGATTGGTAAGGCGCTCTTGCGGCAAGCTGTTTGGTTTCTTCGAATATCTACTTTTGCTTTCAAAAAAAAAAAAAAAATTTTTTTTTTCTAATTCGTCCATGTCTTTTTTTTTTTTTTAATTGTTTCCTTGATGTAACAATCCTGCCTTTTGGGGCCATTTCTCCATATGATTGGCGTAATACTCATACTTTTCAGACTGGTATGATTTCAGTCAGAGAAACCTCATTGTAAACTCGTAATTCCTCAAACTTGGAGCTTTCACTACAAAGCTTTTGTGTACCACCCTTTACGGATATGTGCAGGCAATTAGTAATTAACATAAATTTGCGCTTGGCCATAATGTGGGTAATACATCGATATTAGTACATCATTAGCGTAAATCTTGCATTAATTAGTGTTAAATAATGCAGAAATGGTGACATAATTTCAAGGAAACACGAAACAGCACTACGCGCATACTACTACATATACGCATACACGCAGATACGCAGATACATATGTGGCGTTGACAGTTTTGTCTAATAGTCGGTTTTGCTTCAAATTCTACTTCGGCGTCACATAACATAATTGCTTAGCGGGCATAAGCAAATATATTAAGTGATTAAGGAGTCATGAGGAAATCGTCATAGAAAAAAGTAAAGCCTCTCTTACTCGTACTCTTTAGCTATTTAACTAAAAAATGTTTATCCTTCATCTTTATCAATTATTATTGCTTATGACTAATTGAATTACATCCACTCCGTAATTTCATCTATGCAGAACTATCGGCATTGAGCGCATATGCCTTAGGTTAGATGAACGTTATAATTTGTACATATTTACAAAATTAGTAAATGTATTCACTGAGCAATTTGCTCACACTTATAAACGTGTCTCTATCATTAACTCAACTATTTTGCAACAGCTACTTCATCACTTTGACAACACCACACGCGTTGGTGCTTGAGACGTTAACAGCAGCCACTTACCGTGAATCTTTCATAAACTCTTAATTAATTCCATACTTTCTACAGCTCTGCCTACGTGAAACGGATTTGCTTAATATCAGATAATCTCAAGTACACGGGGGCGGCTTGTTTTGATTCATAGAAGCCAGTGTCAAGAAGAACAAATCTCCTCACAAATGAAGACACTTTGCCTTTTTACTTAGTATAACTATGTTTTTCCCCTGTATGATCTTTACTTCGTCTAAAGTGATTTTCTAGTATCAGTTGGTGTTTCTAATATTAAATAGCATTCAAAAAATTATTTACTTACTATAAAATCAAATCGCTTCGTTGTTGGTTTCTAATAGACAGGAAGTTATTATTTTTGCCAGCTGTGTTATAACATACTAGATGCTAGTGAGGCAGAAACAAATCATATCTACAGACATTTGTGAAAGTTCTTACTAACTAGGCAACAAAGCAGCTTTCACTAAAAGTAGCTTCGAAATATAAATATCGAAGGTAATTTCAAGAACCAGTATTTATATTTATAAATGTAGTATAAAGTACAAGGCAGCATTGTTACGTTGGCATTGACCTGTAGGAATGGAAATATGGTAGTAGCAGCCCACATCACGATGCCTACACACGAAGATGGGTAGTTTAGCAGTGCAGAAGGTGGCGAATTCACAAGGCCAGCTGTACAACTACTCAGCAAGTAGCTCACTAGTCTATGGCATTGTACAATTTTGCAGCCAAAGGGCATTAAATTGTTTTTAGAATGAAAATGGAAAGATAACACTGAAACAGAGGCTAAGCAAAATTAAATGCAAAATGTCAAATAGAAGTATGTAAAGATATAATTATTAGTTGTTTTGAAAGGAGAATTGGTGAAAAGAAAGGAAAATTGATGAAAATTTCACCGTTTAGTTCTTTTTTTTTTTTTTCTTGCTCTCAAAACCTAGAGGAGCCTGTATTCCTATGACAGAATCTCGCGAAATTTACTTAAGCTTTGCAACAGATTTTCACTCAAAAGGGTAGAGTTTGAGTTTAGTGATATTTTAACATCAAATGATTTATCAGACAATAAAACCAGCTTAAGAGTTGAGATTCGAGAATCTATACGGAAGCCCACGTGAATACCAGCTTGTGTGAAATGGGTTCATATACGGAGAAAGCTTATTCTCCTAACAAATATATATGTATATATAAATATATGTATCGAAATTTATTTATCCTGAACTGATCAATAGGTTTATTATTCATACAAGTAATTATTGTGACTGCAAAAATAACATATTCAATTTCATATTTAACCTTTTGGCACTTAAATTTGGTTGATGAGAACCATTTCGGAATTTTCACTCATCTCTTCGGTTTGTTTTAGCTTTTAACAAGAAAAGCGCAACAATGCAGATACACATTCAGCGAGCCCCTGCCTACTACTCACTTATTAGATCTCCATTTTATTATGCCATTCTCTAACATTTATGCTAGTTATTTGTTCGATTCGCCTCTCCTCAAATTTTGGTAAATGAAGTATTGAGTTTCAATTCAATACGCTTTCAAAATATTTTCAAAAATAACGTGCAACTTATTTGTCTATGTATTTGCACACGGATATTTGCTTCACATGTGTTTTATATATGATCTTGTGTACATACATATACATATATTGAACATGTTTTTAAGAGTTCTTATTTTGTAATACAGTATATAGTACATTGATTTCATCAGTGCAAAATAACGGTAATTTAACTGATTTCATTTGTTTTCCATTTCCTGGCCCTTTCACGTATTGCTTACGTAGCAAACAGTGACGCCCCTTCTTGTAATTTTGAAGAGTACACAGATAGAATATTAATCCTTTTTACTGCAGACAGGTCACATACCACATATTGCATACCCTTTAACCATGCAACTGATATGATCAACGACATTTGCGAGTGTGTGTATGCTTCCCTTTGCATATGCACACATATGTACGTATATTTGAGCGGACTCTTACAAAGACTGCATTTAAATCGCTCTGGTCTTACCTTTCTTCGCTTTTCTTGCTCGGCGTTTCGGCTTAAATCCAATTTACATGTAAAAATGCATTTAACGCGTATCTGAAACCAAGCAGCTTATATGTATGAGCGCAAATTTATACGGAAATGTAGGTTTGCATGGAGCGTAAGTGTGTGCGTGCTTGTGTGTGTGTATCGTTTTCTGCCTGCTCTTACCACAATCAGTTTTAATTTATTTCGTTTGCTTTTATTTTCCATTTCCTTGCATGACAAACAAACGAATAAATACGCAGATATGACCTGTTGGCTGGCGTGACACGTGCCGAGGCATTTTTCTCCTTCAATTCCGGCGACGTACAGTACGGCATCGAAGCGGATCGTCGCTCAAAAATACTAAAGGCCTACGTACGCAACACGTACACGTATCATCTGAACGAAATATTCGCGACGATTGTTAATGAGTACACGGATTGGGAGCGACCCGTACAGCATCCAATCAATATACGGTAAGCATTTAAAACAAATACAGACACCAAAGCAAACATGATAAATCTGGATACGTATGCATATCCTCGTAGATGCCAAATATTTTTTGGAACACAATCCTCACGTTTCATATTCTTTAAAGCCTAAGTAATAGAAAAATATTTCGTTTAATTGTAAATAACTATTTATATTAAGTAATATATTAGAAGAACATCAATCAAATTTTCTCATCCCAAATCACAGGATGCCTTCCTTGAGAGCCGTATACTTAGATAATTGTCTTAGAGGCTTTTTAATACACACATACGTCGAAGCTAATCTGTAAAATTTAATAAAATAATGCACTTATAACTTTGGTTGGTCAACAAAGCTACCTGAAATCGGTATACATCCAATCATGCTATTTACATAAAATATTTGAAACTTGACCGAATATATGGCGAAAGTGTTGCAACATAATTCGATTCATCAATGCAGCATGAATTTCGCAAATGGATAAATGAAATAATACTGACTTTATTTATTCGAAATCACTCTCTCACTACTTCTGCTGTGGTTGATTGTAATTACAAATGTGAATGATTAAATTTCATTTTATTAATTTCGTGTATAATATTTTGATAAATAAATTTATTTTATTTTTTTTTTCTTTAGAAAAATAATTTAATTATCGCTTATGATACCATAGAATTTGTATAACCATTAAATATTTAATATTTCTTTACAAAAGTTGGAAATATCAACACACAAATTTTGCGTGCCTTATTGGGCTAATTATCACAAAGTCTAAATGTGAAACAAAACAAACCGTAATTACTTTTTTCCATCAATACATTACACTTATATTTTTGTAAAGCAAATTTTATTTCATCTTTTATATTTAATTATTTTTAAAATGATGGTCTGTAAATAAACTCCATACTCAGCCACGCATATGTGATACCTAATTAGAAAACTATTCATTGCCGCTTGGTGGGTTGAAGTCGGGATTGCCTCAGTTATCAATTTAATGGACGCCTCAATTCAGTCAGATTTCTGGATTTGGCTTTTCACATCTCTTGCTTGACAAATCCCTATCAAAAGCCTAGAGCAGGGTAACCAACTTAAATACAAGTAAAGGTATCACAATAAAGCCCCCAAAAATAATTCCTTAAAGGCATTGAGACGAAGTCCTCTCAATAGACGTATTTTCAGTTTTCAGTTCACTTTATGACGTATGTATACATACATATGTCAGTGTATATAATATTTTAATGAAATAAATAAATGGACAGATTTTTGTCACCACAATATGTTGTAGCGTAAATATGAATAAAAGGGTCAAGATCTTGGTGAGCCCATATTAAAGCTTTAGGTTTAGGTAATTATGTATTTCAATATGAGAAAATTTTTCAAATATTTAACACTATTATGAGATTTCTATTAGATGAAGGATTCAAAAATTTGCTTTGATGGAATCCTCAAACCACTCGAAATAAGTGATGCACCAAATTCGCTTGTAGGTGGAAACTTAGTAGTTTGTGCCATCAGAAGCTACGCACAAATATACGAGCAATTTCAATTATATTGGGAGATAGCTTAAAGCTAAGCGCAATTCAACCGGTTTAAAATCCATGGTTACGCAATACTATTATGTACAGCCAATACTGCATACTAGATAACTGCACGGAGCATAAAAGCAAAACATACTCAATTCCCGATTGCATAATTGTAATCGCCACATTCATACCTATGTATGCTCATCTAGTACTTCAATTCATGCTCATAAATGCATACAAGTATACAGATATTCATATATTTATACCCTGAACAGGGCGTAGTATATGAAGTTTGCGCCGAAGTTTGTAGTGCCCAGAAGGAAGCCTCGGAGACCTCTAAAATGTATATAAAAATGAGCAGTGTTGCTCACTGGTCGAAAGCGACGATATCGAAACACTATAGCTGACATAAGAACTGATCGGTCAAAATAGAATCTTTGACCACAGTGGCATATAGCTGTCATACAATCTGGCCGATCAAAATCAAGATAAGATTCTTTTATGCTATGCATTGTTGGAGGTTATTACAGCTTCGGCGCAACCGAAGTTAACAATTATTCTTGTTTTCTTATTGCTTAGCAACAGCTACACTTTACATTAAGCATTGTACTCGTAAGCTATGCATTTTTTATGTAAGGTACACTTTCGATTTTGAAAACTTTTGTATCTGTTCTCCTATTTTCACATTTGCAGCGATGAAACACTGGAAGCGCTCAGCGATGCACAAATTGTGGCTCCCGCTGCCCAAACCGTCGACTTACACTCGGCGGATCATCGCAATTCGTACTTGTACGTCTTTGACTATCAGACGAGATATGGGGATTATCCTCAGGTAAGTTCTCTCATAGCTTTAACTTGACTTATAAAAATATTTCCAGTATTTTATAATTTCCTTTTCATATTTCTATATTTAAAAGCATATGTAAATAATTTCGATATTAACTAGGTATGTGTACTCTGCAACTATATTCATATGAGGAATTCAGGGGAAACACTAGTTTTCAGAAACATTAGATTGGATTTCCGTGCCAACTAGAGGCCTTAGTGTGCGTTAGATTGCGCTGTGACTTCCAAATAATCTTTTACAAAATTTTGGTATTGTTCAATTCTCCAAGAAAGCTTAAGAAAATTCAAAGGCTTCAGAATTTCAGTTCCAAATAAAGTAATTGAGTAAATTTGGTTCAAAAATTACTAACAAACTATTACAGGTTGCTAACAATAAATATGATTCTAGCAGCAAATTCTACCGAAACTATAAAAAGCAAATTTAAGAAAGACGTGCGATGTGAAACTCTCGATTGCACGTTTGATGTCTGCATACGTGTGTAGCTATTAATAACTATCCAGTATATGCCTACATGCAAATAAATTAAGTCAAATATGTGACTTTTTCTGGCTCAATTTCGGTTCGAAATTTTTGTGTTAAGTCTTACATTCCTGAAAGCATTCCAAGATTATTGGCTTCAACACGCAAATCTCTCCGCATCTTGTCACTTGACCGCCTGAAAAGCAATTTTAGTTAGGATGATATAACCAGCTATTCCGGGAATTACAATCGTTCTTTTCGTTTCGTATCTGCTACAGAAATTCATAACTGCCGCATTGCTAAGATTTGTTTACGTTCAACTGATTGCAGATTGCAGTTTATATAGTAAGTTCCTTTAACCCCATATACCAATGCACATATGAATTTATATGGATTTATGCTACGCAAGTATTTGAACTGCGACGCCACTTCAGTGCACACATGCGCATATGCAAGTAGTGCGGGCATATAGACCAGTCAATTCAGCAAACGTTCAAACAACTTATGTAGGCAATTATCTGCAATACCAAGTGCTTCGGAAGCGGCTCAAGGCAAGCCGAGTGCATTACGCCTTATGCCCATACACAACTGCCGTTATACCACGCCCAACATAAGTTAGAGTTGAAGTGAGGTAATGCGAGCTTTTCCAACGCCAAACCCACGAAGGGACATCAAGTGATCTAAAGCGTTTGCGTACAATACATATGTACGTACATACTCCTACTTACATTCCAAAGCCATCAAATGCACTGAAGAGTGCTAAGCGTTGATGAGAACCCTTTGAAAACTCAATACCTGTGCTACGGTTCTAGGAAAATATTTCGTCATAGTAAGTGCAAAGTGGATGATTTCAAGGATATTACAAGAAATAGTTCATATTATATAAGGAGTTTTATAGAACTTCACTCGTGTAATGAAATGAAGATAAAACAGCAAGCATTTATTAGACTTCAAAGAGTTCTAACGATTATCCTCCGTTCGCCCAACCGACCGTACGGAATTATCCGAATCATGAGAGTTTTATTCAATTATTTCAAAAAACTTGGCTGTAGTTCTATATATTTTTATGCATCTGTCTATATTCTACTTTTGGTTTCAGCGCCAAGGCTGTATTCATGGCGAGGACTTACCCTACCTGTTCGGCGCACCTTTGGTGGGTGGTTTCAGTCATTTCACACGAAATTACACTAAAACAGAAATTAATCTCTCGGAGGTGGTAATGCTGTACTGGTCGAACTTCGTGCGTACAGGGTGAGTAATAAAACTTCAAAGAAGTGCATACCTTAGCTCTTGACCTAATCAACACATACAACAATAGGCAAAGAAAACTAAGAAAAATTTATATTGCAATTCACCTAATTTTCATAATTTAAAGTATTAGACCAAAAGGATTCGAATGTATAAAGCATATATTTCGCTTTCTTTTCTTCGCAGGAACCCGAATGAACAAATGGAAGGCGAACATCCCGGTAGTCGACAGGAGCGAAGTCGATACAAAACGGTTGAATGGACCGCTTACGAGAGTGTGCATAAAAAGTATCTCAATTTCGGTAAGTGGCTCCAAGCAAGCTGTGGGAATAGTTGTTATATATACTAGGATCATTTATAAACCCCTTTTATTACTCAATATTTATATAAGCACTTTTACTTAGCTCAAACCATATCAATCTACATCTTTCCAGACACAAAACCCAAACTCAAAAATCACTATCGCGCTCACCGCTTATCCTTCTGGCTGAATCTCATTCCCGATCTGCACAAGCCAGGCGGTGACAATGTGCCCGCCGCACATCACCAGCTGCTGGATGATACCGATGATGATGTCGACAATAATATCGCCAGTGACGGTTCCGTTAAGCCACTGAACCCACCCTATTCGCCGCATGCTGGCAGCGCGGCGCTTGGCAATTTCACATTATTTACTAATCAAGTATTCTCACTGCTGAATCTCTCGTCACCCTCATCGGCGCGTAATGGCACACGTTATGGCGGCAAAATGTATGGCGCTGACGACAGCGGGGAGGCGCATGCCGCCGGAAGTGGTTCGCCACCGGATGGCCAAGACGGTTTCGCTGCCTACTCCACCGCACTGAGCGTCACAATTGCAATTGGCTGTTCACTGCTCATCCTGAACGTGCTCATCTTCGCTGGTGTTTACTATCAACGTGACAAGACGCGCTTGAGTGAGCCACGCGCGCAGACGAAGCTGAAGCGCCAAGAAAACGGCCAAATGCCGAATAACATATGCGGCGATCTCGAAACCTTAACGATACACACGAAAAACGATCCGGCGACGATACTTTCGCATCACCACGCGCTGCAGCATCAACACCAGCTGCCACCACCCGAATTCGCGGACATACCACACCGTGCGCCGCCGCCGCCAAAACATTTAAAATCGCTGCAGGATGCGAGCGGCAACATTAATATGGGTGGCGCGCTCGGTGCGCCGGGAAGCGCGGCAAGCGGCGGTGGTATGGTAGGTGGTGCTATRGGTAGCAGCGGCGGCGGCGGCAATGCTGCTGGTGTTGGGGGTCTGGGTAGCGCCGGCGGGCAAGGTGGTAGTGGGCCCAGTGGCAGCGGAGGCGGCGGCAGCATGATGGGTCTAATGCCACCACCGCACGCGTTGCAAGTCATGGGCAATCAATGTGGCACGCTTACCAAAAAGAGTTGCATGAAACAAACACAACAGCAGCAGCAGCAACAACAGCAGCTGGTGGTTACACATCAGCAGCATTTGCAGAATCATCATAATCAAAGCATGACGACGGCTTTAATGGGTGGCGGCGGTGGTGCGGTTGGTCCACCGCCACCTTCGGTGTCCAGCGCACAAGCGCACTCGCACGCAAATGTGCAACAGCAGCAACAGCAACAGCAGCAGCAACAACATCATCAGCAAGCACAACTACAACAAATCCAACAGCACCCACTAATGGATGAGTTGCGAGTGTGACATTAATTAACAGTGCGTTTCAAATGTGATCTCTAGCGGTGATTAAATGATTGTGATGTGAAATGAAGTGGAAACGGGTGCCGCACAATGCCACACAGCTCGATTAAAGTGTGTGTGGCTGTGTGTTTGTCGCTTTGTGTATTTATGAGTGTGTGGGTGTGTGGTTCTGAGCGTGTAGTGCATGTGCGTGAATTTAATCGTGTGCGGCGTTCTTGGTGATAGCGCCCATTACCTATTCTCTCTGCGGGCGTCTGTACGCCATTGCATTTAGTAGCAAAGCAAAACGGGATTACATGACGTAGGCGCATTTTGTTAATTAGTATTAGATATAAAACCATTCTTGTAGGTATATATATACTAATCCCGAGGAAAAAGTTGTATTAAGTCGTGGTGCTTGGCACAAAACCCAAATATTATTTCAAAACACGTTCTAACTGTAGCCATACTTAGTATAAAGTTTTAAAACTGAAATTTCGATTGTCATCAAAATTGAAGTTTAACAATCAAATATTTTGTATATAGTAAAACTAAAGTTATAAAACCATAAAGCGTGCAAACTGATGAATCATTAGCAAGAATTATAGTTACGAAGCTGCTTTTCCAAACATTTTAGATTCGTTTATGGTTTTGTTAGAATTAATTATAATATTTCGTTTTGATATGAATTTTGTTGTATACAAATTTTAAAAACTCTAAACAACTGAAATAATTGCGTTGAAGCAAATAGCAAACAATTGAGAGACAGGATTAAATTGCCAACATATTCATATGTAACTAAAGAGCCACTTTAAAACGAATTCATGTACTCCTTTATATTTTAAAAGCTATCAAGTTATTATTTTGGCCTATCATTTGAAAACTTCCTGATCATTAAACGAAAAACTGTATAGTCATTGAGGAAGTTGCAAGCTATTTCATATTTGGAATTATATTTCTGTCATGAACGATGGTCTCGTAAAATTCTTCTGGAATTAGGAGCTCTTTAATTACACATTGTCACTCGAGCATTTAACTAATTGTCTATCGTATGGTTATTGACTCCAAGCACTCACTGCATTTTCGTATTCACCGGAAATCTTCAATAGTTTATAGATATTTTTAGTTTTTGTGGGGTCCGAGGCATTAATATCTATGAAAAATGGTGCAAAAGAAACACTTAAGAGAAGAGCTATACATAAATGATTTTATATGATCGATAGAAAAGCGATTCCCACTGAACCTTCTTATTGGCCGCAATATAAGTGGACTGCTTACTATTTGATATCGGTAATATATTCACTTTGCCGCATGGAATATGTGAATATCACTACTTTGTATAAATTTTGTCTTAGAACTTTCAATTTGATGTAAGAATCTTACTGAAGACTCCTTCTTCCTACCTACTCATATTAGCGCATTTCCAAAGCATCTCCAGATTCCAGCAACATTGCTGGGTATTTTAATCAGAGCTAATCAAAATTTCAGCACAGTTGGAATAATTTTATGAACCTGTCCGACACGATGAAATAAAGCCGCTAAAGTTCCAACGTATTTAGCAAAAACGCTCTGCTACAATTGACAATAGTTTCATTCTGCAAAAGGATCTGATATAACGAAGCAGCGAAGTATCTTCAGTTAGGTCCAGTCTGTCAAAAAATAATAATTTGCTATAAAGAAATGTAAAGTAATTACTTTGAACAAACAGATTACTAGCTTCCACAATGCGGAGAAAACCTCCCAAGAACACGTGCTAAACGTTCATTTTCCCATTTTTATTTAATATGTTTTTGCTTAGGCAAAGCACCTCCGATGTTTATTGGTATTGTCTGTTAAATGCTTAAAGAAACCCTGTCTGACCTTAAATTCTATACATACGTTAGATAATACATAATGACCAGTGACGAGTGATATTATCCTTAGCAAAGTAGCAGGAATATAATACAATATATAGCCGTAAGGAATGAGAAAGAAATTCGGATGAAATCCCAACATAGCTTTGGCTACCAAAGTCTTCAGTTCTTCTATAAACTGAAAACATTTAATTTTTTGATGATATTTTGTCTGAAAATACAAAAAAAATATTAAACGTTTTTTTTTCAAATTATTTGTTTTTCTATGTAGTCACAGTGGTGAAAATTTTGCACCTGCGAAAGATTAACGCTACTGAGCAAAAATATTTTGTAAGAATAAAAGCTATACTCCGCTTATTTTCGGTTGAAGCTGCCAGCTTAATGAAAATCAGTTCTTGCTTTTGCAATCTCGAGTCTGAATATGGCAGTATTTAACTCCACTCTCTTATATTCCTGGTTTACTCTACCAGCCTGCTGCTAACACGAAGTTTGTTAAGCATTGATTCATTTATTATAAATTCTTAAAACTTTCTAAATTAATAGCATATTGGTTCCCTACTAGACACACTAGACACTGATATAACAAATTTAAAGTAGCTTTCCGTATTTGTGTAAATTATTCTTCCAAAGACTGATTAAGTGTGTATATAATAGTTACCATTAGTGTGCAACTAATACAAAATTAATGTGTATATGTGTGTATAAGTAGGTTTGTATGAACTAATATGTGTGAAGTAGATAATTTTAATGCTTGTAAATAAGGAAAGGTAGCCGTAGTACCAAACCAAAATGAAAGTTGTTAGAAAATTTTCACACAAACAAAATGTAGGCTAATGAATTGATAGGCAGAATTTTGGTCATTGCAATGCGAAGGAGATAGGAGATAGATTGTGTTTTGACACCTATGTTCCAGTAGTTAAGTAGTTTACTATCTTCTTGAACCTAAAACGGGTGAATAAGATTAGTCTTTAGATTTTGTTTGTTGCTAAGAGATATAAACACTAAAAAAATAAAACAAAGAAATATGGTTTAATGGAAATATATTTTTATTATTGCTAGTTGAAATAGTATTTTCGTATTTTGTCAATAATTGTCGTTGCAGTCGCATATCTACCATATAGTTTTTAAAAGGTGAGATTCAAAGCTTCATTTACCCAAAAAAAAAAAAATTACATTGGGGGAAGCTGAAAAAAAGTTACAGCTGTTGAAAAATTAGTGAAAATAATGCAGAAATTCGCTATATTTTTTAAATTTCTGTATAAATAAGGGAAGAATGCCACGAGCCACCAATGAAATTTGTGAAGTTTACCGAGATGATGCTGTATCAGTTCGTGTAGCTTAACAATGGTTCACTAGCTTCCGTTTTGGAAATTTCGATTTACACTGATGAAAGTTTTACACCGATGGAATAATCTCTCTAGCGGAAAAATGATAAAAAGTGGTCGACCAAAATGGTTCATATTTCTTTATTTACTTATTAGTACAAATATCAAAAAAAAAAAAAAAAAAAAATTAGTTGAAGTTTGATTTGAATACGAAAAGACTTTATCGACTACCCAATCTTTTTGTCTCTGGCATTATTTTTTTAATGTTTCATTCGGAATGTCTAATTTGGCATGTTCTTTAAACCTTCCGATATGTTTAGTATGTGTATGTATGTGCAGAATAGGTAAAATTATTAACTCACATAGTTAGTTCAGATTTAAGTAAGTTTGGCGTAAGTAAACAAGTGTGTAATCTACAAGAACTTTGTAAACAGCTTACTGAAAATCGAAGATTAAAAAGAAATATATCTACATTATAAATAGCATAAACAACCATAGCAAATAACAATATAGAGTAACTAAATCATAATGTGTATAAAAATATATTTAAATATAGTATATATAATTTAGTTATATGGAGTAAACAAGCAAGCAACAACAAGATACACAAGTAAGTGAAGCGATAAGTAGGAAATAAATAATTTGAATATTTAATAAGTATTTTTAAGTATTAGTGCGTAGCATACAAGTGCGCTATAAGTACTTAACCTATGAAAATCTGTGACACAATTGTATTTTTAGTGCTGAAGTTAAAGAGTAATGACTTGTCAACACCAGCAACAACGCTGGCAACCGTGTTTAAAAGCTATAAAATGACAACCTGTGCAATATATATAAAAAACTAGTTAAGCATGGAAAAAATTGTGGTACTATAAGTATGTTGTAATTGTATGATGGTGAGCGTACGAAATTTAAAATGCGTAAAAAGTAAGGGATTAATAATGGATAATAAAAGGCAGAATTAATATTATAAATGAATGGACTATTTTATTCTCGGAAGTGCAACATGGTGAGTTTTCAAGTATTTTTGTATAGTTTTTCTTTCAATATGCAGAATAGTGAGTGTTATTTGCTTCACGCTAAGCGCAGATCATATTGTCATGCGAAAATTGTTTGGCTACAAATGAGTATGTTTGGCGTGTCAACTTTTTGTCGTGGATAAATTCTGCTGGAAATGTACTATATTACTATAAAAGTTAAGTAATAAAACTAGGTACTTTAGTAAGCTTTAAATAAAGTGTCAATTATACAAAATTAAGTACGATTAAGTTAATTTTTCTTCAATCGCTCTTCCCAACATTATTCGTGAATAATTGATGACAGCAAAGCTCATGGAAGTAACACACGTTTAATCCCTAACTCAGTTTGAATATTTCCTTTACTCTATTCCAAAGATTCCTACCACATTAGTTCATTATAACTGCGCCAAAATAAAGCCACGATTTCATAGTGTACAGTTTTGCAATTTCCGCCTTTAATTTCACCATTAATATCACGCTTTTACAAGCACACCAAGAGTAAATGATTAATTTTAGTAATTGATTAACTACACAACTTTCAGAAACCGGCTTTAACAAAAACCATCACACACTAAAATATAGTCAACAGCAAAACGCTTAAATATTCTTGTGCGAAATGACGGAGATTAGTAATAATTAATTAAGTTATAAATGATTTTGTGTTTGCTTCACTTAATAGTGGCCGCCGCCGAAATTAATCACGAGACTCAACAACTTTTTGACTAAAAACTGAAAACTAATTCCAATAGGAGTTTCTCGTAACGTTAATACTGAATCTGGAAAAGCTCCGCAGGGCTAATTAAGTGTTTTCAGCGCTAACTTCCTTTAATGTATTTGACAAATATTGTGGCGTTGAAGCTACGCATCAATTTCAAAATGGCAATTAGCTTCTGCAAACTAATTAAAGTGCTCATAAATATTTTATAAATCGGTGGCGTTTTTTGTAGACTGAGTTCCAATCGACACCTGCGCTGTGCGGACTTTCTTCGGGCGCGCTGTGATAACAGCTGCATGTTGGCATAATTAAAGTATTGCTTTGCTTTTGCATTTTTAATCGAAATTTTGAATTAATGTAACACAGTTTTAATACGAGGAGGTGTTGGTGGCGTATGAGCAACTTTTAGCTTTCAGTTGAGCTGCCTAAAATTGCTTAGCAGTGAATAAATGCATGTGGTCGCTAATCACATAAAATAGAAAAATTTTAACATAATACGCTACTTCTAAGTCATTGTATGTGTCATTGGCCAAGTAGTTCTCTGAACCTTATCACGGTATAGGTGTTTTAGAAACAAAAGATAATCACGTAGTCACAAGCAAGTAATATTTTAAGCATATTTTTTCACTCTCATTATGTTTATTATTACTATTTTCGTTTATCAATAACATTTAAATCAATAACCTTTTGTATTATATCTATACATCTTTCATTATATATAACTCTGTCTATATCTCTAACTCTATTTCTATCTTTATGTTTACGAGAATACGAGTATACGAGTATACTTTTCTCTCCACATGAATAACTTATTTACATTTATCCAAAACAAAACCAATTTTCCATAACTAAAATGTTTAATTGTGAATTATTAATGTGATGAATAACCCCTAATTTCCGTGCACATCTGTTAAGACTGTACTGTAATCTAAAAATGATAGCACTTGTACAAGTAATATATAAGTATGTTGCTAAAATAATAGGTACAGATTTGTATCTGAGCAATTTCTTGCTCATTTCGGTAGTAAAGCTCATAAAACTTTTTCAATTCCACTTAAAAATCTTCTCTTCTGCGCCTCATTCATGTTTGCCTCGGCGCTTACTTAACAGACAGAAGTTTTCAAACAAGCAACGCACACTTGCAAAGTTTACAATAAAAATTCAATTATACGTCATTTCAACATAAAAATGACAAAAGCAATTTCATACGTACACGTTTCTACATATGTATGTACTTGCATGTATAGGGTGCTCCTAAAAGTAAACAATTCTTATTCAAGGCATAACCCAGACCAGATATTGCAATATTTTATATATTATACTATATACTTAAAAAAAAAAAGAAAATAAATAAATGTAATTATAACAACGCGGCGGTGACCCGGGAGGAAGGTAAAAGTTGGATTATTATTATTAAGAAACAAAAAAAAACGTTTGAATCTAGGAACTGAGCATGAATATGTCTCGTCAAATCAGATGTATGAAGCAGCTACTCGCCTTGAAGTACTTCTACACAACTTCAATTAAAAAAACAGGAAAAAAAACAGAAAAAAAAAAGGGTGTGGAAACTTACTCCAACACCTGCCTTTCGAATGACATCATTTGCGCCATACAAATCATTTCGAATTGACCTACTGTAAAGTATTATAATGTATGTATAACGCCGAAAGCTATAACTTACAGAGAAATAGAAAACGGAAAAGCAATTGTTGTCAAAAATTGCTACATAAAGTTTTCTGTGCCGAGTCTAACGATTTCCAACTAACCAAGTTCATTAAAAAAATTAGAAAAGGACTTTTTCTTTTGACAAAAAAATATAATAAACTGCTACAACAGTCGCTGGGTTGAAATGTGGTGTTGTATACTTCGTGGATGATTAGCCACACTGTTGGCTCTTCAGTCGCACGGTAATGAAATTAACACAAAACTTTTTCCATTATTGTAGTGAACACTGTGAGAATATTCATAACAACGTATATACACTCATTATAAAGCAGAAGATAATTGAATGCAAATGAAAATACCTATTTAGCTTAAGAGCTGAAAGAAGAACAACCAAGAAAGAAAACAAAAAACAATGTTAACCACCGACTGTACGCTACACGAATTTTGGTATAGATTATTTTCTAAGGCAACAATGTAATATCCGAAGAAACTCAGATCAGTTAACTATAGCATATAGCTGTCATACAAACTGAATGATCGGAATCAAGTTTTTGTATGGAAAACTTTACTTACTGACGTGGTATCTTCAAGAAATTTTGCATGGATTACAGCTTAAGGTAACATTATAATTTTCAAAAAAATGGTTCAGAACGGATATTACTATAGCACATAGCTTCCATATAAACTGAACACAAACTTACTAACAGCAATGCACCTGTGAAAGGTATTTAGCTTCGTTGCAACCGAAGTTAACGTTTTTTCTTGTTTCTCTTGTTATTAGTTTTCATTATATGGTCGAAAATTGCTTAATAAAATTTGTTTAGTTGCCAGCCGAGCAATAGACCCCAATTTCTATATGCGTTAACTTTCAACTCAGAAAAATTGGTTGATGAGTATAAAAATCGTCTTAGTGGTAATGGCCCAGATAAACTTTTTCACTTTAAAAACCATCAGCTTTTATGCTAACATTCTCTTTGAGATGTGAGTTTGCACAACGATTCATACATTACCGCACCAACTTAAATTAGAGCCGCCCGCAAAAATGAAATCAGCCGAAAGTGTTAAAAAGTTAAGCAATTTGCATTAAAATTGCGTGATAGAAAACAAAAAAGTCAAATGAAAAAGTTGTTCTGGTAAATCGAACATTCCGTCCCGATACCAAGCATGTGCGTTAGTACGTGTGTATATACAGTACAGAGATAACGTGTAAAAGAAGAGGCGAAATGATTTGCGGTCTTCAAATATCTCCCTAACCGCAAATGTGGACTTCCGTTATACACATATACATATGTGAAAAA